AAAGTCAGCACTTTCTGACTTTCCAGGAAATGGCATTCAGGAATCATTAGCCACCAGTCCCTCGGTGGTGAAAACAGATAACCCACTCAGCAAATGCTTGTCTGCTATGGGCTAGAAGTTTGAGTCCACCCTGAGGCACTTCAGAAGAAAAGGCGGGTGATCTACTTTTGAAAACTCAGCCCCTGACAGTCCTACAGAACACAACCCTATCCGACACGTGAGGTCGCCGTGAGCTGCAATTGATTGCCAGCAGTGATACTGGTGCTGACCACAAAAGGAACTAAAGCAGACTTGTGTTCTCTTCTTATTACACAGGGAGATCAGCAAAGAACAGAGGGGTTGAACATCAGCACCAAAATGAAATTTGCCTTTTGATGTGACCATGCAGATTAGAAGAGAACTGAAAAGGTCACCGTCTCTGTGATGCTTTCTCCAACACTACTACCAAAACTGCAAATTCCTTCCCCTCCTCCATGTTTCCGTAAGCACCATTTTACCACTCACATACTATATATCTTACTTTAAGTGCCGATTAGTGCCCCTCTGTAATGGATTGAATTGTGTCCCCCAAAAGTTATGGTCCAAATCCCTGTACTTATAAATATGACCCTATTTGGAGAGAGTTTCTTTTATGTTAATGAAGCCATGCCTGAGTTGGGTGTGTCCTTAACCTACCATTTCTGAGAGATGTCTTGTAAAAAGAGAAGACTAGACACAGAGACACACAACAGAGGAAGATAGATACCACACAAGGATTATTTGCAAGCAAAGGAATATTAAGGGTCTCCAATAGTTACCAGAAACTAGGAGAGAGGTTCACAGAAGGAATTGGCATGGCCAAGACCCCAGGGATGTCACTAGAGCTGGTGTTACCAGTGAGTGCAGTAACTCATGGTGTCACCTTTCTGCCATGGACCTCTTCCTGTACCAGACCACGCAGTATCCTTAGTAATATTTCTTATGAATTCTAATCATAGACTAATATGTAACAAGTATAGTTGTAAATTGCTTACATGTAATGTTTCTTAGATTATAGGAATACTAACAACAAAAGTGTTTTGTAAAATCTGTATACCTTATTCATTACAACATTATTAGTAATTGAGCAAAAGCTTTTTTTATACTTTTCTCCTTCTTTCCTTTAATGACTACTTAATTCTTAAAAAAATGTTATTGACATCAATTCACAAATATTAATTACCACAACATTGCAGCTAAAACATCACAAGATTTGACAAAATATTATTATTATTATTAGGAGCTCTGGTAGCATAGTGCCTAAGGCACTTGACTGCTAACCAGAAGGCTGGTGGTTCAAACCCACCAGCCACTCTTTGAAGGAAGATGGGGCAATCTACTTCCATAGTGATATGCCTCAGAAACCCAAGGAGGGGTCGCTATGAGTCAGGTCTGACTCGACAGCACATAACAACAACAATTATTATTATTATCAGCAGCAGCAGCAACAACATAGCCCATGGAAATGAAACCACATGATATGATGCATCATTGTAATTGGGTAATAATGACAGCTCTGACCAGAGTGCATCAGAAGTCTTGAAAAGTAAATTAGCATGGCATTTTTGCCTTGTAGGTATGTTGATACCTGTAAGCTGGATCTATGAAAAAAATCTATGAAAGATTTTTTGTTGTTGTTATAATTAACTACAGAGATATTTTTATTAATAAATAAATAAATTCCTGCTAAAACACTGCACAAAAATTTCACAGGCAGTCATTTTCGTGTCATGGCCTCTCACAGTGTCACCTGGTATAGTCCACAACCTTGCATCCTCCTAGGGATGCCACTGCAAGACCCTGATTTGGACTGCTAGCTTCCAAAACGGCGACAAAATAAATTTCTGTCCTTTGAAGCTGCCACTTGGTATTTTTTGTTACAGCAGTGCTAGGTAACTACAACCCCACTCTTTGAATATAAGCTGTATGAGGGCAGAGATGTTTGTCTCTTCTGTTTGCTGTGGTATCCACACAGCCTGGCACACAGCAAGATTCAAAAAATATCATCAACTTACTGATGAAACAGTGCAATACTTTCTAGAGACATGGCTCATGGTTATCTAACTCCTCTTGCCTAAGCAGCAGACACCCCTGTTGCTTTCCTGCTTCCACTGGCTCTTGGCTAACCGTGGCCCAACCTCACTCCTCCTGCCCTGGGCATGCCCTTCAGTCAGGTTTCTTAACCTTTTTGAGTTATGGACTCCTCAGCCATCTGGTGAAGCCTATGCATCCCTCCTCAGAATTAGGTTTTCAAATGCATAAAACACATGATTATAAAGGAAGCCTATTAAATCAAAACACAGACTCAGAATATTACAAACCTTTGATATATGTGCTTTCTATTAGTCCATTAGGAGCTCTGGTAGCATAGTGCCTAAGGCACTTGACTGCTAACCAGAAGGCTGGTGGTTCAAACCC